CCTGTTCATCTCCCAGCTGGAGGGGCAGCTGACGCACCTACGCATGGGCAATGAGGAGACGGCGACCGACTACTGCAACCGAGCCCGAGCCCGGCGCGCAGTACTCCACGACGTCGTATGTTACCCACGTGATGCAGGGGTTGTCGAGCAACTACAACCTCCTGAAGAGGCTGTTGATGGCGCCGGACACGAGGACGTCGCTCAACGAGGACAACCTGACCTCGTACATCCTGCAGGACGAGGCGATGCAGGAGGCTGAGCGATCGCAGGAGCTCTTGGCGCAGGCCAACTTCGTCGCCCCGGCAAAGCAAGGAGGTCGACCGGGTCAGCGCGGACAGTCTGGTGGCGGCGGGAGCAGTGACTGGAAGTTGACCAAGGAGGTCGACAAGAAGCCGACCAAGGACGGCGGTCGAGGAGGAGGAGGTCGACGTCGAAAGTGCTGGATCTGCCACAGCCCCGACCACCTCTCATTCGAGTGTCCCGACCGCAGTGACTCCGACGACGACGACAAGGGCGGCCGCGGGAGGTCGAGCAGTTGTCGTCCTCGTCGAGGAGGAAAACAGCCGCGCAAGGAGAAGCAGTTGACCAAGACGTCGACTTCGGCGAAGGACGCCGACTCCTCTGCTGGCGGCAAGGCGCGGGACGACAAGACGGCGTCGTGCTCGCTGCTCGGCGTCGTGGAGCCGACCGTCTCCCTGGCGCCGGAGGCTGTGGAGGACTTCCAGGCGGTGGCAGCAGCTGTGCAGGCGAACCCGGAGGTGGTCCTGCTCGACAGCCGCTGCTCCCACCACCTGATGGGGACGAAGGAGGTCTTCGTCAACCTGCAGCCGAGCGACTCCATCAAGCATGTGCGCGGCTTCAATGGGGCGCTGCAGGACGTCCAGGGCCGTGGCACCGTTGCCCTGCAAGGAGAAGCCGGGAAGCAGGTGCTCATCCCCGACGTGCTGATCGTCCCGGGTGTGCGAGCGAACCTGCTGTCGGCCGGCCAGCTGAAGGAGCACGGCGTGAAGCTGCAGGAGGACGGAGACGGCATGCTGCTCGTCTCGGCGGCTGGGGAGGTGCTTGGTCGGGCGACGTACTCCGGGCGAGTTCTCTGCACCGACCTGCGTCCCTGCACCACGACGTCTACGTCGCCCACACCGGAGGTTGTGGCTCTGCGGGCGATCATCTCGACGCCGGACCGGATGCACGCGAGGCTGGCGCACGTCGACATGGACACCATCAGGAGCTCGGCGAAGCACGGGGTTGCCATTGGGCTGGACCTCAAGTCGGCGACGGGCGCCGACTCTCCGTGTGTCTCGTGCGTCGGCGGGAAGCTGGCGCGGCACACCTTCCCCGACCAAGGCTCCGACGCCGACGACGTGCTGACTGTCGTGCACATCGACCAGTGCGGGCCATTCCGTGTGGCTGCCAAAGACGGCACCTTGTACTTCCTGCTGCTAAAGGACCGCAAGACCCGCTTCGTGTGGGTGAGGCCGCTCGCCAAGAAGTCAGACGTGCTGCTGGAGTTCCAGAAGTGTCTGGTGTTGGTGGAAAGGCAGACGAAGAAGTTGGTGCTGCAGTTGCGCTCAGACCGAGGAGGGGAGTTCCTCGGGAAGAAGTTCACCGACTTCGTGGACGACAAGGGGATCGTCCACGACCTGACCTGTCCGTACACCCCGCAGCAGAATGGCATGGCTGAGCGGGAGATGAGGACGGTGGTGGAGTCTGTGCGGACGATGCTGCTGCACATGGGCGTGCAGCACCACTGGTGGCACCTTGCTCTGCGACAAGCCGTATGGGTCCGCAATTGCCTTGAGCGGTCGACGCTGCCGCCGGGGTCGACGCCGTATCAACTGCTGACCGGGCACAAGCCCGACTTGTCGATGGCGCGGGTGTGGGGCTGCATGGCGCAGTTCCTTGGCCCCAAGCAGCAGCGTGGTGGGAAGCTGAAGCCGAAGGCCAGGTGGGGCCTTCACCTTGGCGAGCAAGGGCTGGGAGCTCCTTGACGTTGACGCCAACCGGGTGGTCACCACGTCGGACGTGGTGTTCTACGAGGAGATGTCGCTGGCCGAGTGGAAGTTGGAGCACGGGCCGGAGTCCGGCCGCCGTCGTCCACCCTGCCCTCTGACACCTCGTCGGCGACGCTACCCCTACTGGCCGAGGTCGATGAGCTTGCTGCTGAGGACATCGAGGACGTCCGCCCTCCTACCCCTCTCCCTACGACCCCTGCCCCTCCCCTCGTGGCCGACCTGCGTGGGCTGACCTCGGTGTCGGCCTCCGGCGATGAGGGGAGTCGTGGGACGTCGCCTTCGGTGCCGGCGAAGAGCATCGCCGGTGGCCGACGTGACGAGGGGCAGGTCGACATGGGATTGAAGTTGACGTTGACAGGGGAGGAGCAGGTCGAGGAGGCTCAGCCGACAGGGGAGCAGGCAGCCGTGAAGCCGACTACGGAGCAGTCGGCGATCGGGTAGTCGACAGGGGAGCCGACCAAAGGGGAGAGGTCGACCAGGAAGTCGACCGAGGTGCAGCATGACGACGAGGACAGCGAAGACGGTGACACCGGGGAGTCCACCGAGAGCGACGTGGTGGAGGTTCGGCCGGAACCCCGGAAGTCAGATCGAGTTCGGCGGCCGCCAGACCGCTTCGTCCCCGCTGCCTTCACCACGGTCTACGACGTCGACGACGACGACGACCTGCTGTACGACAACGCCGAAGAAGATGAGGATTCCGGAGCTCGACCCCGACATGCATGCCAACCCCGAACACCGCTGGGACATCTCGACGATGACGGTGAAGGAGGCGTTGGCGAGCTGGAAGGGCCCGGCGGTAAAGGCCGCCATGGAGGAGGAGATCCGCATCCTCATCAACATGAGGACTTGGGAGCTGGTCGAACGCCCGCCGGGAGTGAACGTCATGAAGAACCGGTGGGTGTTGATGACGAAGTACCGCGTCGATGACACCGTCGAGCGCGAGAAGGCGAGGCTGGTCGTGAAGGGCTTCACGCAGGTGTACGGCGCCGACTACAACGAGACGTTCGCGCCAGTGGGGAGCTACGTCACGCTGAGGATCTTCCTCAGCATCGTCGCCGTCCTCAACCTCAACCTGATGCAGCTCGACATGAAGAACGCCATCCTGCAGAGCAAGCTCGACCGGGTGCTCTACATGGCTCAGCCGGACTACTTCAACGACAGAACCGGCCGGGTCTGCAAGCTGCTGAAGAGCCTGTATGGGCTAAAGCAGTCGCCGCTGCTGTGGTACTTGGCGCTCAACGACGTGCTGGTCGGCGCCGGGTGGAAGAAGAGCCAGGTCGACGAGGCTCTCTACTTCAAGGTCGGCAAGGACGAAGTGGCATGCTGGGTGCTGGTCTACGTCGACGACCTGCTCGCCGCCAGCAGCAGCACCGAGATGCTGAAGGAGCTGAAGGAGCTGCTGGAGTCCGCCTTCGAGCTGCGCGAGATTTCGCCAGTGCAGAAGTATCTCGGCCTGGAGATCGTACGCGACAGGTCGGCAGGGAAGCTGTGGCTGCACCAGCAGGGCTACGCCGACAAGCTGCGTCGGCGCTTCATCGACGAGGAGCAGACCGGGCGCACTCCGAAGACGCCGGTCTCGGTCGGCGCCTACGCCGAGCTCACCTTCGACGACGAGGAGGCGCAGGCGCGACAGGAGGAGGAGTACAGGCAGAAGGTCGGCTTGCTGTAGTTCGCCGAGAAGACAACGAGGCCGGACGTCGCCTTCGCCTGCAGCAAGATAGGGAGCGGCCTCACGGTGAGGATCGACCAGCACTGGCGCGAGGTCGACCGCTGCCTCGCCTACCTCGCCAACACGCGTGACAGCGCCCTGGAGTTCGGCGGTGGACCTGAGTCACTGGAGCTGGTCGGCTACGTGGACGCCGACGACGCCGGTGACAAGCAGAACAGGACGAGCACGGGAGGCTACGTGTTCGTCTACGAAGGGGCCGCGGTCTCCTGGTCGAGCCAGCGCATCAAGTGCGCGACGTTGTCGTCGACCGAGTCGGAGTACGTGGCGGCCACGGAAGCCGGGAAGGAGAGACGTCGACTTCGCTTCCTCCTCGCAGAATTCCAGCAGCTGGATGCTGGGAAGCCGACCGTCCTTCGGGTGGACAACAAGTCGGCCATCACAGTCGCCGAGGGCATGGGGTTGACGGGCAACCTCAAGCACATGGAGCGGCGACAGGCCTGGCTGCAGCACATGGTGAAGCGCGGGAAGTTCTCGCTGCAGTACATCCCAACCGCTGAGCAGCCAGCCGACTTCCTGACGAAGGTGCTGCACTATCGGGCCTTCAACCGGTGCTCCGTCGCAATCGGCCAGGTGCGCTTGGCCGACGTGGGCGACGACGACGACGACGTGCAGCAGTAGGTGCCATGCCCTCTTGCATGGCTGGTGCGGTGACCGGCGTGCTGTGTGTTGGGTGCACGCCGACGGGATATTCTCGGAGCTATACTGCCGTGTGGGCTGGGGGCCCAAGCGTGAACGCGGCAGGGGAGTGTCAACGGGAGTTGGGTGTTGGCCCCATCCTAGCTTGGGCGGAGCCGACTTCGTGGTCGGGTGTGAGGGGAGCAGCCGACGTGCAGCAGTGGGCGAGCTGGTTGACGAGGAGGTCGACCTGCACGAGGGCCATTGCACGGGCGCCGACTTCGGGGTGGCGCCGACTTTGAGGAAGCCGACTTTGGTGGTCGGCAGACGGACTGCTAGTCGACCTGGTGGTTGGTCGACCAGGCCTGCTGGTCGACCTGCTGGTGGTCGACTAGACCTGGTGGTCGAGGAAGGAGGGGCCGAAGTCGACCTCGACACAGGACGCCGAGCAATTGGGCGTCGAGTAGCGGGGCGTCAACTTCGGGACGCCGACTTCGGGTGGCCGACGTGGGTGGTCGGCCGACAACTGCGCTGGTCGGCGAGGAGCTGGTCGACCAGGAGTGACGTCGACCTGGAGGGGGTCGACCGAGGGTGTGGTCGGCCTGGTGAGGTCGACTGGAGGTGGCCGTCGACTTGGGAGGTCGATGGGCAAGTACGGGAGCTGCTGGTCGACGTGGTTGCCCGGTCGACCAGGTTATCTGGGCTACGAAGTGCTGCGGAGGAGTGCGACGGTCGCCAAGGCGAAGTTGGCTAGCCCGACCTCAAGGATAAATTTCGAGGTCGTCGTGGCGGATCACAAGCAGTCGTCAGCGAGAGATTGGCGTGGTGTGTGCGCTGTGCAGGTGACGGAGCTCTGCGCGCACCTGCGAAGCGGGTGCACTGCTGTTCTGCGTGAGCAACGCTGGCACGCCGTCAAACTGCGACGTTGGCACGCCGTCGACCTTGCACTGCTGGAACGCGATCGACCAAGCTGTGCTGGCAGTTGGCCGACATGAATGCTAGCTGTGATGTAGTCTTGCATTGCCAACTTCATTGTATCATTGTTGTCAACCTTTCTCTAGTGAAACTCTTGCCAAATTGCCTTGTGAACTAGCAAGCAGTGTGAGCACTAGGAAACCGACTAAGGACCAAGGAACGCAGAGATCACACGAGCACCCGTGCCTAGCCCGTAGTCTAGCTCCTGTTGCAGTAGTTATCTCCGCACTTCCATCACCCCTCCCCATTCTCCCTCTTTCCATCACCCCGCCCCATTCTCCCTCTTTCCATCACCCCGCCCCATTCTCCCTCTTTCCATCACCCCGCCCCATTCTCCCTCTTTCCATCACCTCGCCACATTCTCCCTCTTTCCATCACCCTGCCCTATTCTCCCTCTTTCCATCACCCTACCCCATTCTCACTGTTTCCATCACCCCGCCCCATTCTCCCGCTTTCCATCACCCACCCCCATTCTCCCGCTTTCCATCACACCACCCCTTTCTCCCGCTTTCCATCACCCCGCCCCATTTTCCCTCTTTCCATCACCCCGCCCCATTCTCCCGCTTTCCATCACCCCGCCCGATTCTCCCGCTTTCCATCACCCCGCTCCATTCTCCCGCTTTCCATCACCCCGCCCAATTCTTCCTCTTTCCATCACCCCTCCCCATTCTCCCTCTTTCCATCACCCCGCCCCATTCTCCCGCTTTCCATCACCCCGCCCCATTCTCCCTCTTTCCATCATCCCGCCCCATTCTCCCGCTTTCCACCACCCAGCTCCATTCTCCCGCTTTCCATCACCCCGCCCAATTCTCCCTCTTTCCATCACCCCTCCCCATTCTCCCTCTTTCCATCACCCCGCCCCATTCTCCCGCTTTCCATCACACCTCCCCATTCTCCCGCTTTCCATCACCACGTCCCATTTTCCCTCTTTCCATCACCCCGCCCCATTCTACCGCTTTCCATCACCCCGCCCCATTCTCCCGCTTTCCATCAACCCGCTCCATTCTCCCGCTTTCCATCACCCCGCCCAATTCTCCCTCTTTTCATCACCCCTCCCCATTCTCCCTCTTTCCATCACCCCGCCCCACTCTCCCGCTTTCCATCATCCCGCCCTATTCTCCCTCTTCCCATCACCCCGCCCCATTATTCCGCTTTCCATCACCCCGCCCCATTCTCTCGCTTTCCATCAGCCGGCTCCATTCTCCCGCTATCCATCACCCCACCCAATTCTTCCTCTTTCCATCACCCCTCCCCATTCTCCCTCTTTCCATCACCCCGCCCCATTCTCCCGCTTTCCATCACCCCGCCCCATTCTCCCTCTTTCCATCACCCTGCCCCATTCTCCCTCTTTCCATCACTCCACCCCATTCTCCCGCTTTCCATCGCCCTGCCCCATTCTCCCGCTTTCCATCACCCCGCCCCATTCTCCCGCTTTCCATCACCCTGCCCCATTCTCCCGCTTTCCATCACCCCGCCCCATTCTCCCTCTTTCCATCACCCCGCCATATTCTCCCTTTTTCCATCACCCCACCCCATTCTCCCGCATTCCATCACCCCGCCCCATTCTCCCGCTTTCCATCACCCCGCCCCTTCCTCCCGCTTTCCATCACCCCGCCCCATTCTCCCTCTTTCCATCACCCTGCCCCATTCTCCCTCTTTCCATCACCCCGCTCCATTCTCCCGCTTTCCATCACCCCGCCCAATTCTCCCTCTTTCCATCACCCCTCCCCATTCTCACTCTTTCCATCACCCCGCCCCACTCTCCCACTTTCCATCAACCCGCCCTATTCTCCCTCTTTCCACACCCCGCCCCATTCTCCCACTTTCCATCACCCCGCCCCATTCTCCCTCTTTCGATCACCCCGCCCCATTCTCCCGCTTTCCATCACCCTGCCCCATTCTCCCGCTTTCTATCACCCTGCCCCATTCACCCTCTTTCCATCACCCCACCCCATTCTCCCGCTTTCCATCACCCCGCCCCATTCTCCCGCTTTCCATCACCCCGCCCCATGATCCCGCTTTCCAACACCCCGCCCCATTCTCCCTCTTTCCATCACACTGCCGTATTCTCCCTCTTTCCATCACCCCGCCCCATTCTCCCTCTTTCCATCACCCCGCCCCATTCTCCCGCTTTCCATCACCCCGCCCCATTCTCCCTCTTTCCATCACCCTGCCCCATTTTCCCTCTTTCCATCACCCCACCCCATTCTCCCCCTTTCCATTGCCCCGCCCCATTCTCCCGCTTTCCATCACCCCGCCCCATTCTCCCTCTTTCCATCACCCCGCCCCATTCTCCCGCTTTCCATCACCCCGCCCCATTCTCCCTCTTTCCATCACCCCGCCGTATTCTCCCTCTTTCCATCACCCTGCCCCATTCTCCCGCTTTCCATCACCCCGCCCCATTCTCCCGCTTTCCATCACCCCACCCCATTCTCCCGCTTTCCATCACCCCGCCCCATTCTCCCGCTTTCCATCACCCCGCCCCATTCTCCCACTTTCCATCACCCCGCTCCATTCTCTGTCCTACCATCACCCTGCCAAATTCTCCCTCTTTCCATCACCCCTCCCCATTCTCCCTCTTTCCATCACCCCGCTCCATTCTCCCGCTTTCCATCACCCCGCCCCATTCTCCCTCTTTCCATCACCCCACCCCATTCTCCCTCTTTCCATCACCCCGCCCCATTCTCTCGCTTTCCATCACCCCGCCCCATTCTCCCGCTTTCCATCACCCCGCCCCATTCTCTCGCTTTCCATCACCCCGCCCCATTCTCCCGCTTTCCATCACCCCGCCCCATTCTTCCTCTTTCCATCACCCAGCCCCATTCTCCCGCATTCCATCACCCCGCCCCATTCTCCCTCTTTCCATCACCCCGCCCCATTCTCCCGCTTTCCATCACCCCGCCCCGTTCTCCCTCTTTCCATCACCCCGCCCCATTCTCCCTCTTTCTATCACCCCACCCCATTCTCCCGCTTTCCATCACCCCGACCCATTCTCCCGCTTTCCATCACCCCACCCCATTCTCCCTCTTTCGATCACCCCGCCCCATTCTTCTGCGGAAGGGGTGGGGTGATGGAAGGAGGGAGAATGGGGCGGGGTGATGGAAAGCGGGAGAATTGGGCGGGGTGATGGAAAGCGGAAGAATGGGACGGGGTGATGGAAAGTGGGAGAATGGGGCGGGGTGATGAAAAGCGGGAGAATGGGGCGGGGTGATGGAAAGCGGGAGCATGGGGCGGGGTGATGGAAGGAGGTAGAATGAGGCGGGGTGATGGAAGGAGGGAGAATGGGGCGGGGTGATGGAAAGCGGGAGAATGGGGCGGGGTGATGGAAGGAGGGAGAATTGGGCGTGGTGATGGACAGCGGGAGAATGGGGTGGGGTGATGGAAAGCGGGAGAATGGGGCGGGGTGATGGAAAGCGGGAGAATGGGGCGGGGTGATGGAAAGCGGGAGAATGGGGCGGGGTGATGGAAAGCGGGAGAATGGGGCGGGGTGATGGAAAGCAGGAGAATGGGGCGGGGTGATCGAAAGCGGGAGAATGGGGCGGGGTGAAGGAAGGAGGGAGAATGGGGCGGGGTGATGGAGGGAGGAAGAAGGGGGCGGGGTGATGGAAAGCGAGAGAATGGGCTGGGGTGTTGGAAAGCGGGATAATGGGGCGGGGTGATGAAAAGCGGGAGAATGGGGCGGGGTGATGGAAAGCGGGAGAATGGGGCGGGGTGATGGAAAGCGGGAGAATGGGGCGGGTGATGGAAAGCGGGTGAATGGGGCAGGGTGATGGAAAGCGGGAGAATGGGGCGGGTGATGGAAAGTGGGAGAATGGGGCGGGGTGATGGAAGGAGGGAGAATGGGGAGGGGTGATGGAAAGCGGGGGAATGGGGCGGGATGATGGGAAGCGGAAGAATGGGGTGGGGTGATGGAAAGCGGGAGAATGGGGCGGGTGATGGAAGGAGGAAGAAGGGGGCGGGGTGATGGAAAGCGAGAGAATGAGCTGGTGTGTTGGAAAGCGGGAGAATGGGGCGGGGTGATGAAAAGCGGGAGAATGGGGCGGGGTGATGGAAAGTGGGAGAATGGGGCGGGGTGATGGAAAGCGGGAGAATGGGGCGGGTGATGGAAAGCGGGTGAATGGGGCGGGGTGATGGAAAGCGGGAGAATGGGGCGGGGTGATGGAAAGCGGGAGAATGGGGCGGGGTGATGGAAAGCGGGAGAATGGGGCGAGGTGATGGAAAGCGGGAGAATGGGGCGGGGTGATGGAAGGAGGGAGAATGGGGATGGGTGATGGAAAGCGGGGGAATGGGGCAGGATGATGGGAAGCGGAAGATTGGGGCGGGGTGATGGAAAGCGGGAGAATGGGGCGGGGAGATGGAAAGCGGGAGAAAGGGGAGGGGTGATGGAAAGCGGGAGAATGGGGCGGGCTGATGAAGAGCGGGAGAATGGGGCGGGGTGATGGAAGGAGGGATAATGGGGCGGGGTGATGGACGGAGAAAGAAGGGGGCGGGGTGATGGAAAGTGGGAGAATGTGGTGGGGTGATGGAAAGCGGGAGAATGGGGTGGGGTTATGGGAAGCAAGAGAATGGGGCGGTGTGATGGAAAGCGGGAGAATGGGGCACTGTGATGGAAAGCGGGAGAATGGGGCGGGGAGATGGAAAGCGGGAGAAAGGGGTGGGGTGATGGAAAGCGGGAGAATGGGGCGGGCTGATGGAAAGCGGGAGAATGGGGCGGGGTGATTGAAGGAGGGAGAATGGGGCGGGGTGATGGAAGGAGAGAGAAGGGGGCGGCGTGATGGAAACTGGGAAAATGTGGCAGGGTGATGGAAAGCGGGAGAATGGGGTGGGGTTATGGGAAGCGGGAGAATGAAGCGGGGTGATGGAAAGCGGGAGAATGGGGCGGGGTGATGGAAAGCGGGAGAATGGGGCGGGTGATGGAAAGCGGGAGAATGGGGCGGGGTGACGGAAATCGGGAGAATGGGGCGGGGTTATGGGAAGCGGGAGAATGGGGTGGGGTTATGGGAAGCGGGAGAATGGGGCGGGGTGATGGAAAGCGGGAGAATGGGGCGGGCTGATGGAAAGCGGGAGAATGGGGCGGGGTGATGGAAAGAGGGAGAATGGGGCGGGGTGATGGAAAGAGGGAGAAGGGGGCGGGGTGATGGAAAGCGGAAGAAGGGGGCGGGGTGATGGAAAGCGGGAGAATGGGGCGGGGTGATGGAAAGCGGGAGAATGGGGCGGGTGATGGAAGGAGGGAGAATGGGGCGGGGTGATGGAAAGCGGGAGAACGGGGCGGGATGATGGGAAGCGGGAGAATGGGGCGGGGTGATGGAAAGCGGGAGAATGGGGTGGGGTGATGGAAAGTGGGAGAATGGGGCAGGGAGATGGAAAGCGGGAGAAAGGGGCGGGGTGATGGAAAGCGGGAGAATGGGGCGGGCTGATGGAAAGCGGGAGAATGGGGCGGGGTGATGGACAGCGGGAGAATGGGGAGGGGTGATGGAAAGCAGGAGAATGGGGCGGGGTGATGGAAAGCGGGAGAATGGGGCGGGGTGATGGAAAGCGGGAGAATGGGGCGGGGTGATGGAAGCAGGGAGAATGGGGCGGGGTGATGGACAAGCGGGAGAATGGAGCGGGGTGATGGAAAGATGGAGAATGGGGCAGGGTGATGGAAAGCGGGAGAATGGGGCGGGGTGAAGGAAGGAGGGAGAATGGGGCGGGGTGATGGAAGGAGGAAGAAGGGGGCGGGGTGATGGAAAGCGGGAGAATGGGGCGGGGAGATGGAAAGCGGGAGAATGGGGTGGGGTGATGGAAAGCGGGAGAATGGGGCGGGCTGATGGAAAGCGGGAGAATGGGGCGGGGTGATGGAAAGAGGGAGAATGGGGCGGGGTGATGGAAAGCGGGAGAATGGGGTGGGGTGATGGAAAGAGGGAGAATGGGGCGGGGTGGTGGAAAGAGAGAGAATGGGGCGTGGTGATGGAAAGCGGGAGAATAGGGCAGGGTGATGGAAAGAGGGAGAATTGGGCGGGGTGATGGAAAGCGGGAGAATGGAGCGGGGTGATGGAACGAGGGAAAATGGGGCGGGATGAAGGAATGCGGGAGAATGGGGCGGGGTGATGGAAAGAGGCAGAATGGGGCGGGGTGATGGAAAGCAGGAGAATGGGGCGGGGTGATGGAAAGCGGGAGAATGGGGCTGGGTGATGGAAAGCAGGAGAATGGGGCGGGGTGATGGAAAGCGGGAGAATGGGGCGGGGTGATGGAAAGCGGGAGAATGGGGCCCGGTGATGGAAATCGGGAAAATGGGGCGGCGTGATGGAAAGCGGGAGAATGGGGCGGGGTGATGGAAAGCGGGAGAATGGGGCGGGGTGATGGAAAGAGGGAAAATGGGGCGTGGTGATGGAAAGCGGGAGAATTGGGCGGGGTGATGGAAAGCGGGAGAATGGGGCGGGGTGATGGAAAGCGGGAGAATGGGGCGGGGTGATGGAAAGAGGGAGAATGGGGCGGGGTGATGGAAAGCGGGAGAATGGAGCGGGGTGATGGAAAGAGGGAGAATGGGGCGGGGTGATGGAAAGCGGGAGAATGGGGCGGGGTGATGGAAAGAGGGAGAATGGGGCGGGGTGATGGAAAGCGGGAGAATGGGGCGGGGTGATGGAAAGAGGGAGAATGGGGAGGGGTGGTGGAAAGAGGGAGAATGGGGCGGGGTGATGGAAAGCGGGAGAATGGGGCGGGGTGATGGAAATAGGGACAATGGGGCGTGGTGATGGAAAGCGGGAGAATTGGGCGGGGTGATGGAAAGCGGGAGAATGGGGCGGGGTGATGGAAAGCGGGAGAATGGGGCGGGGTGATGGAAAGAGGGAGAATGGGGCGGGGTGATGGAAAGCGGGAGAATGGAGCGGGGTGATGGAAAGAGGGAGAATGGGGCGGGGTGATGGAAAGCGGGAGAATGGGGCGGGGTGATGGAAAGAGGGAGAATGGGGCGGGGTGATGGAAAGCGGGAGAATGGGGCGGGGTGATGGAAAGAGGGAGAATGGGGCGGGGTGGTGGAAAGAGGGAGAATGGGGCGGGGTAATGGAAAGCGGGAGAATGGGGCGGGGTGATGGAAAGCGGGAGAATGGAGCGGGGTGATGGAACGAGGGAAAATGGGGCCGGGTGAAGGAATGCGGGAGAATGGGGCGGGGTGATGGAAAGAGCGAGAATGGGGCGGGGTGATAGAAAGCGGGAGAATGGGGCGGGGTGATGGAAAGCGGGAGAATGGGGCTGGGTGATGGAAAGCGGGAGAATGGGGCGGGGTGATGGAAAGCGGGAGAATGGGGCGGGGTGATGGAAACAGGGAGAATGGGGCGGGGTGATGGAAAGCGGGAGAATGGGGCGGGGTGATGGAAAGTGGGAGAATGGGGCGGGGTGATGGAAATCGGGAAAATGGGGCGGGTGATGGAAAGCGGGAGAATGGGGCGGGGTGATGGAAAGAGGGAGAATGGGGCGGGGTGATGGAAAGAGGGATAATTGGGCGGGGTGATGGAAAGCGGGAGAATGGAGCTGGGTGATGAAAAGCGGGAGAATGGGGCGGAGTGATGGAAAGCGGGAGAGGGGCGGGGTGATGGAAATCGGGAGAATGGGGCGGGGTGGTGGAAAGCGGGAGAATGGGGCAGGATGATGGAAAGCGGGAGAATTAAGCGGGTATTGGGAAGAGGAAGAATGGGGCGGGGTGATGGAAAGCGGGAGAACGGGGCGGGGTGATGGAAAGCGGGAGAATGGGGCCGGGTGATAGAAAACGGGAGAATGGGGCGGGGTGATGGAAATCGAGAGAATTGGGCGAAGTGATGGAAAGCGGGAGAATGGGGAGGGGTGATGGAAAGCGCGAGAATGGGGCGGGGTGGTGGAAAGCGGGAGAATGGGGCAGGGTGGTGGAAAGCGGGAGAATGGGGCGGAGTGATGGAAAGCGGGAGAATGGGGCGGGGTGATGGAAGGAGGGAGAATGGGGCGGGGTGATGGAAAGCGGGAGAATGGGGCGGGGTGATGGAAAGAGGGAGAATGGGGCGGGGTGATGGAAAGCGGGAGAATGGCGCGGGGTGGTGGAAAGCGGGAGAATGGGGCGGGGTGATGGAAAGCGGGAGAATGGGGCGGGGTGATGGAAAGCGGGAGAATGGGACGGGGTGATGGAAAGCGGGAGAATTGGGCGGGGTGATGGATAGAGGGAGAATGGGGCGGAGTGATGGAAAGAGGGAGAATGGGGCGGGGTGATGGAAAGAGGGAGAATGGGCAGGGTGATGGAAAGCGGGAGAATGGGGCGGGGTGATGGAAAGTGGGAGAATGGGGTGGGGTGATGGACAGCGGGAGAATGGGGAGGGGTGATGGAAAGCAGGAGAATGGGGCGAGGTGATGGAAAGAGGGAGAATGGGGCGGGGTGATGGAAAGCGGGAGAATGGGGCGGGGTGATGGAAAGCGGGAGAATGGGGTGGGGTGATGGAAAGAGGGAGAATGGGGAGGGGTGATGGAAAGAGGGAGAATTTGGCGGGTTGATGGAAAGCGGGAGAATGGAGCGGGGTGATGGAAAGCGGGAGAATGGGGCGGGGTGATGGAAAGCGGGAGAATGGGGCGGGGTGATGGAAAGAGAGAAAATAGGGCGAGGTGATGGAAAGCGGGAGAATGGAGTGGTGTGATGGAAAGCGGGAGAATGGGGCGGGGTGATGGAAAGAGGGAGAATGGGGCAGGGTGATGGAAAGCGGGAGAATGGGGCGGGGTGATGGAAAGAGGGAGAATGGGGCGGGGTGATGGAAGGCGGGAGAATGGGGCGGGATGATGCAAATCGGGAGAATGGGGTGGGGTGATGGAAAGCGGGAGAATGGGGCGGGGTGATGGAAAGCGGGAGAATAGGGCGGGATGATGGAAGGCAGGAGAATGGGGCGGGGTGATGGAAAGCGGGAGAATGGGGCGGAGTGATGGAAAGCGGGAGAATGGGGCGGGGTGATGGAAAGAGGGAGAATGGGGCGGGGTGATGGAAAGCGGGAAAATGGGGCGGGTGATGGAAAGCGGGAGAATGGGGCGGGGTGATGGAATGAGGGAGAATGGGGCGGGGTGATGGAAAGCGTGAGAATGGGGCGGGTTGATGTTAAGCGGGAGAATGGGCCCGGGTGATGGAAAGCGGGAGAATGGGGTGGTTTGATAGAAAGAGGGAGAATGGGGAGGGGTGATGGAAAGAGGGAGAATTGGGCGGGGTGATGGAAATCGGGAGAATGGAGCGGGGTGATGGAAAGCGGGCGGGGTGATGGAAAGTGGGAGAATGGGGCGGGGTGATAGAAAGAGGGAGAACGGGGCGGGGTGATGGAAAGCGGGAGAATGGGGCGGGGTGATGGAAAGAGGGAGAATGGGGCGGGGTGATGGAAGGCGGGAGAATGGGGCGGGGTGATGCAAATCGAGAGAATGGGGTGGGGTGATGGAAAGCAGAAGAATGGGGCGGGGTGATGGAAAGCGGGAGAACGGGGCGGGGTGATGGAAGACGTGAGAATGGGGCGGGGTGATGGAGAGAGGGAGATTGGGGCGGGATGATGGAAAGCGGGAGAATGGGCGGGTGATGGAAAGCGGGAGAATGGGGCTGGGTGATAGAAAGCGGGAGAATGGGGCGGGGTGATGGAAATCGAGAGAATTGGGCGAAGTGATGAAAAGCGGGAGAATGGGGCGGGGTGATGGAAAGCGGGAGAATGGGGCAGGGTGGTGGAAAGCGGGAGAATGGGGCGGGGTGGTGGAAAGCGGGAGAATGGGGCGGAGTGATGGAAAGCGGGAGAATGGGGCGGGGTGATGGAAAGAGGGAGAATGGGGCAGGGTGATGGAAAGCGGGAGAATGGGGCGGGGTGATGGAAAGAGGGAGAATGGGGCAGGATGATGGAAAGCGGGAGAATGGCGCGGGGTGGTAGAAAGCGGGAGAATGGGGCGGGGTGATGAAAAGCGGGAGAATGGGGCGGGTGATGGAAAGCGGGAGAATGGGACGGGCTGATGGAAAGCGGGAGAATTGGGCGGGTTGATGGATAGAGGGAGAATGGGGCGGGGTGATGGAAATCGGGAAAATGGGGCGGGTGATGGAAAGCGGGAGAATGGGGCGGGGTGATGGAAAGAGGGAGAATGGGGCGGGGTGATGGAAAGAGGGATAATTGGGCGGGGTGATGGAAAGAGGGAGAATGGAGCGGGGTGATGGAAATCGGGAGAATGGGGCGGGGTGGTGGAAAGCGGGAGAATGGGGCGGGATGATGGAAAGCGGGAGAATGGGGCGGGGTGATGGAAAGCGGGAGAATGGGGCGGGTGATGGAAAGCGGGAGAATGGGACGGGGTGATGGAAAGCGGGAGAATGGGCAGGGTGATGGATAGAGGGAGAATGGGTCGGAGTGATGGAAAGAGGGAGAATGGGGTGGGGTGATGGAAAGAGGGAGAATGGGCAGGGTGATGGAAAGCGGGAGAATGGGGCGGGGTGATGGAAAGTGGGAGAATGGGGCGGGGTGATGGACAGCGGGAGAATGGGGAGGGGTGATGGAAAGCAGGAGAATGGGGCAAGGTGATGGAAAGAGGGAGAATGGGGTGGGGTGATGGAAAGCGGGAGAATGGGGCGGGGTGATGGAAAGCGGGAGAATGGCGCGGGGTGATGGAAAGCGGGAGAATGGGGCGGGGTGATGGAAAGAGGGAGAATGGGGAGGGGTGATGGAAAGAGGGAGAATTGGGCGGGTTGATGGAAAGCGGGAGAATGGAGCCGGGTGATGGAAAGCGGGAGAATGGGGCGGGGTGATGGAAAGCGGGAGAATGGGGCGGGGTGATGGAAAGAGAGAAAAAAGGGCGAGGTGATGGAAGGCGGGAGAATGGGGCGGGGTGATGCAAATCGGGGGAACGGGGTGGGGTGATGGAAAGCGGGAGAATGGGGCGGGGTGATGGAAAGCGGAAGAATGGGGCGGGATGATGGAAGGCAGGAGAATGGGGCGGGGTGATGGAAAGAGGGAGAATGGGGCGGGGTGATGGAAAGCGGGAAAATGGGGCGGGTGATGGAAAGCGGGAGAATGGGGCGGGGTGATGGAATGAGGGAGAATGGGGCGGGGTGATGGAAAGCGAGAGAATGGGGCGGGGTGATGTTAAGAGGGAGAATGGGCCGGGGTGATGGAAAGCGGGAGAATGGGGCGGTTTGATGGAAAGGGGGAGAATGGGGAGGGGTGATGGAAAGAGGGAGAATTGGGCGGGGTGATGGAAATCGGGAGAATGGAGCGGGGTGATGGAAAGCGTGCGGGGTGATGGAAAGCGGGAGAATGGGGCGGGGTGATAGAAAGAGGGAGAATGGGGCGGGGTGATGGAAAGCGGGAGAATGGGGCGGGGTGATGGAAAGAGGGAGAATGGGGCGGGGTGATGCAAATCGAGAGAATGGGGTGGGGTGATGGAAAGCGGGAGAATGGGGCGGGGTGATGGAAAGCGGGAGAATGGGGCGGGGTGATGGAAGGCGTGAGAATGGGGCGGGGTGATAGATAGGAGGAGAATGGGGCAGGATGATGGAAAGCGGGAGAATGGGGCGGGTGATGGAAAGCGGGAGAATGGGGCGGGGTGATGGAAAGTGGGAGAATGGGGCGGGGTGATGGAAAGCGAGAGAATGGGGCGGGGTGATGGAAAGAGGGAGAATGGCGCGGGGTGATGGAAAGCGGGAGAATGGGGCGGGTTGATGGAAAGAGGGAGAATGGGGAGGGGTGATGGAAAGAGGGAGAATAGGGCGGGGTGATGGAAAGCGGGAGAATGGAGCGGGGTGATGGAAAGCGGGAGAATGGGGCGGGGTGATGGATAGCGGGAGAATGGGGCGGGGTGATAGAAAGAGGGAGAATGGGGCGGGGTGATGGAAAGCGGGAAAATGGGGCGGGGTGATGGAAAGAGGGAGAATGGGGCGGGGTGATGGAAAGAGGGAGAATGGGGCGGGGTGATGGAAAGCGGGAGAATGGAGAGGGGTGATAGAAAGAGGGAGAATTGGGGGGGATGATGGAAAGCGGGAGAATGGAGCGGGGTGATGGAAAGCGGGAGAATGGGGCGGGGTGATGGAAAGCGGGAGAATGGGGCGGGGTGATGGAAAGAGGGAAAATGGGGCGTGGTGATGGAAAGCGGGAGAATTGGGCGGGGTGATGGAAAGCGGGAGAATGGGGCGGGGTGATGGAAAGCGGGAGAATGGGGCGGGGTGATGGAAAGAGGGAGAATGGGGCGGGGTGATGGAAAGCGGGAGAATGGAGCGGGGTGATGGAAAGAGGGAGAATGGGGCGGGGTGATGGAAAGCGGGAGAATGGGGCGGGGTGATGGAAAGAGGGAGAATGGGGCGGGGTGATGGAAAGCGGGAGAATGGGGCGGGGTGATGGAAAGAGGGAGAATGGGGCGGGGTGGTGGAAAGAGGGAGAATGGGGCGGGGTGATGGAAAGCGGGAGAATGGGGCGGGGTGATGGAAATAGGGACAATGGGGAGGGATGATGGAAAGAGGGAGAACTGGGCGGGGTGATGGAAAGCGGGAGAATGGAGCGGGGTGATGGAACGAGGGAAAATGGGGCCGGGTGAAGGAATGCGGGAGAATGGGGCGGGGTGATGGAAAGAGCGAGAATGGGGCGGGGTGATAGAAAGCGGGAGAATGGGGCGGGGTGATGGAAAGCGGGAGAACGGGGCGGGGTGATGGAAAGCGGGAGAATGGGGCCGGGTGATAGAAAACGGGAGAATGGGGCGGGGTGATGGAAATCGAGAGAATTGGGCGAAGTGATGGAAAGCGGGAGAATGGGGAGGGGTGATGGAAAGCGCGAGAATGGGGCGGGGTGGTGGAAAGCGGGAGAATGGGGCAGGGTGGTGGAAAGCGGGAGAATGGGGCGGAGTGATGGAAAGCGGGAGAATGGGGCGGGGTGATGGAAAGAGGGAGAATGGGGCGGGGTGATGGAAAGCGGGAGAATGGGGCGGGGTGATGGAAAGAGGGAGAATGGGGCGGGGTGATGGAAAGCGGGAGAATGGCGCGGGGTGGTGGAAAGCGGGAGAATGGGGCGGGGTGATGGAAAGCGGGAGAATGGGGCGGGGTGATGGAAAGCGGGAGAATGGGACGGGGTGATGGAATGCGGGAGAATTGGGCGGGGTGATGGATAGAGGGAGAATGGGGCGGAGTGATGGAAAGAGGGAGAATGGGGCGGGGTGATGGAAAGAGGGAGAATGGGCAGGGTGATGGAAAGCGGGAGAATGGGGCGGGGTGATGGAAAGTGGGAGAATGGGGTGGGGTGATGGACAGCGGGAGAATGGGGAGGGGTGATGGAAAGCAGGAGAATGGGGCGAGGTGATGGAAAGAGGGAGAATGGGGCGGGGTGATGGAAAGCGGGAGAATGGGGCGGGGTGATGGAAAGCGGGAGAATGGCGTGGGGTGATGGAAGGCGGGAGAATGGGGCGGGGTGATGGAAAGAGGGAGAATGTGGAGGGGTGATGGAAAGAGGGAGAATTTGGCAGGTTGATGGAAAGCGGGAGAATGGAGCGGGGTGATGGAAAGCGGGAGAATGGGGCGGGGTGATGGAAAGCGGGAGAATGGGGCGGGGTGATGGAAAGAGAGAAAATAGGGCGAGGTGATGGAAAGCGGGAGAATGGAGTGGTGTGATGGAAAGCGGGAGAATGGGGCGGGGTGATGGAAAGAGGGAGAATGGGGCAGGGTGATGGAAAGCGGGAGAATGGGGCAGGGTGATGGAAAGATGGAGAATGGGGCGGGGTGATGGAAGGCGGGAGAATGGGGCGGGATGATGCAAATCGGGAGAATGGGGTGGGGTGATGGAAAGCGGGAGAATGGGGCGGGGTGATGGAAAGCGGGAGAATGGGGCGGGATGATGGAAGGCAGGAGAATGGGGCGGGGTGATGGAAAGCGGGAGAATGGGGCGGAGTGATGGAAAGCGGGAGAATGGGGCGGGGTGATGGAAAGAGGGAGAATGGGGCGGGGTGATGGAAAGCGGGAAAATGGGGCGGGTGATGGAAAGCGGGAGAATAAGGCGGGGTGATGGAATGAGGGAGAATGGGGCGGGGTGATGGAAAGCGTGAGAATGGGGCGGGTTGATGTTAAGAGGGAGAATGGGCCCGGGTGATGGAAAGCGGGAGAATGGGGTGGTTTGATAGAAAGAGGGAGAATGGGGAGGGGTGATGGAAAGAGGGAGAATTGGGCGGGGTGATGGAAATCGGGAGAATGGAGCGCGGTGATGGAAAGCGGGCGGGGTGATGGAAAGTGGGAGAATGGGGCGGGGTGATAGAAAGAGGGAGAACGGGGCGGGGTGATGGAAAGCGGGAGAATGGGGCGGGGTGATGGAAAGAGGGAGAATGGGGCGGGGTGATGGAAGGCGGGAGAATGGGGCGGGGTGATGCAAATCGAGAGAATGGGGTGGGGTGATAGAAAGCAGAAGAATGGGGCGGGGTGATGGAAAGCGGGAGAATGGGGCGGGGTGATGGAAGACGTGAGAATGGGGCGGGGTGATGGATAGAGGGAGAATGGGGCGGGATGATGGTAAGCGGGAGAATGGGCGGGTGATGGAAAGCGGGAGAATGGGGCTGGGTGATAGAAAGCGGGAGAATGGGGCGGGGTGATGGAAATCGAGAGAATTGGGCGAAGTGATGGAAAGCGGGAGAATGGGGCGGGGTGATGGAAAGCGGGAGAATGGGGCAGGGTGGTGGAAAGCGGGAGAATGGGGCGGGGTGGTGGAAAGCGGGAGAATGGGGCGGAGTGATGGAAAGCGGGAGAATGGGGCGGGGTGATGGAAAGAGGGAGAATGGGGCGGGGTGATGGAAAGCGGGAGAATGGGGCGGGGTGATGGAAAGAGGGAGAATGGGGCAGGATGATGGAAAGCGGGAGAATGGCGCAGGGTGGTAGAAAGCGGGAGAATGGGGCGGGGTGATGAAAAGCGGGAGAATGGGGCGGGTGATGGAAAGCGGGAGAATGGGACGGGCTGATGGAAAGCGGGAGAATTGGGCGGGGTGATGGATAGAGGGAGAATGGGGCGGGTTGATGGAAATCGGGAAAATGGGGCGGGTGATGGAAAGCGGGAGAATGGGGCGGGGTGATGGAAAGAGGGAGAATGGGGCGGGGTGATGGAAAGAGGGATAATTGGGCGGGGTGATGGAAAGAGGGAGAATGGAGCGGGGTGATGGAAATCGGGAGAATGGGGCGGGGTGGTGGAAAGCGGGAGAATGGGGCGGGATGATGGAAAGCGGGAGAATGGGGCGGGGTGATGGAAAGCGGGAGAATGGGGCGGGTGATGGAAAGCGGGAGAATGGGACGGGGTGATGGAAAGCGGGAGAATGGGCAGGGTGATGGATAGAGGGAGAATGGGTCGGAGTGATGGAAAGAGGGAGAATGGGGTGGGGTGATGGAAAGAGGGAGAATGGGCAGGGTGATGGAAAGCGGGAGAATGGGGCGGGGTGATGGAAAGTGGGAGAATGGGGCGGGGTGATGGACAGCGGGAGAATGGGGAGGGGTGATGGAAAGCAGGAGAATGGGGCAAGGTGATGGAAAGAGGGAGAATGGGGCGGGGTGATGGAAAGCGGGAGAATGGGGCGGGGTGATGGAAAGCGGGAGAATGGCGCGGGGTGATGGAAAGCGGGAGAATGGGGCGGGGTGATGGAAAGAGGGAGAATGGGGAGGGGTGATGGAAAGAGGGAGAATTGGGCGGGTTGATGGAAAGCGGGAGAATGGAGCGGGGTGATGGAAAGCGGGAGAATGGAGCGGGGTGATGGAAAGCGGGAGAATGGGGCGGGGTGATGGAAAGAGAGAAAAAAGGGCGAGGTGATGGAAGGCGGGAGAATGGGGCGGGGTGATGCAAATCGGGAGAATGGGGTGGGGTGATGGAAAGCGGGAGAATGGGGCGGGGTGATGGAAAGCGGAAGAATGGGGCGGGATGATGGTACGCAGGAGAATGGGGCGGGGTGATGGAAAGAGGGAGAATGGGGCGGGGTGATGGAAAGCGGGAAAATGGGGCGGGTGATGGAAAGCGGGAGAATGGGGCGGGGTGATGGAATGAGGGAGAATGGGGCGGGGTGATGGAAAGCGAGAGAATGGGGCGGGGTGATGTTAAGAGGGAGAATGGGCCGGGGTGATGGAAAGCGGGAGAATGGGGCGGTTTGATGGAAAGGGGGAGAATGGGGAGGGGTGATGGAAAGAGGGAGAATTGTGCGGGGTGATGGAAATCGGGAGAATGGAGCGGGGTGATGGAAAGCGTGCGGGGTGATGGAAAGCGGGAGAATGGGGCGGGGTGATAGAAAGAGGGAGAATGGGGCGGGGTGATGGAAAGCGGGAGAATGGGGCGGGGTGATGGAAAGAGGGAGAATGGGGCGGGGTGATGCAAATCGAGAGAATGGGGTGGGGTGATGGAAAGCGGGAGAATGGGGCGGGGTGATGGAAAGCGGGAGAATGGGGCGGGGTGATGGAAGGCGTGAGAATGGGGCGGGGTGATGGATAGGAGGAGAATGGGGCAGGATGATGGAAAGCGGGAGAATGGGGCGGGTGATGGAAAGCGGGAGAATGGGGCGGGGTGATGGAAAGAGGGAGAATGGGGCAGGGTGATGGAAAGCGAGAGAATGGGGCGGGGTGATGGAAAGAGGGAGAATGGGGCGGGGTGATGGAAAGCGGGAGAATGGGGCGGGTTGATGGAAAGAGGGAGAATGGGGAGGGGTGATGGAAAGAGGGAGAATAGGGCGGGGTGATGGAAAGCGGGAGAATGGAGCGGGGTGATGGAAAGCGGGAGAATGGGGCGGGGTGATGGAAAGCGGGAGAATGGGGTGGGGTGATAGAAAGAGGGAGAATGGGGCGGGGTGATGGAAAGCGGGAAAATGGGGCGGGGTGATGGAAAGAGGGAGAATGGGGCGGGGTGATGGAAAGAGGGAGAATGGGGCGGGGTGATGGAAAGCGGGAGAATGGAGAGGGGTGATAGAAAGAGGGAGAATTGGGGGGGATGATGGAAAGCGGGAGAATGGAGCGGGGTGATGGAAAGCGGGAGAATGGGGCGGGGTGATGGAAAGCGGGAGAATGGGGCGGGGTGATGGAAAGAGGGAAAATGGGGCGTGGTAATGGAAAGCGGGAGAATTGGGCGGGGTGATGGAAAGCAGGAGAATGGGGCGGGGTGATGGAAAGCGGGAGAATGGGGCGGGGTGATGGAAAGAGGGAGAATGGGGCGGGGTGATGGAAAGCGGGAGAATGGAGCGGGGTGATGGAAAGAGGGAGAATGGGGCGGGGTGATGGAAAGCGGGAGAATGGGGCGGGGTGATGGAAAGAGGGAGAATGGGGCGGGGTGATGGAAAGCGGGAGAATGGGGCGGGGTGATGGAAAGAGGGAGAATGGGGCGGGGTGGTGGAAAGAGGGAGAATGGGGCGGGGTGATGGAAAGCGGGAGAATGGGGCGGGGTGATGGAAATAGGGACAATGGGGAGGGATGATGGAAAGAGGGAGAACTGGGCGGGGTGATGGAAAGCGGGAGAATGGAGCGGGGTGATGGAACGAGGGAAAATGGGGCCGGGTGAAGGAATGCGGGAGAATGGGGCGGGGTGATGGAAAGAGCGAGAATGGGGCGGGGTGATAGAAAGCGGGAGAATGGGGCGGGGTGATGGAAAGCGGGAGAATGGGGCTGGGTGATGGAAAGCGGGAGAATGGGGCGGGGTGATGGAAAGCGGGAGAATGGGGCGGGGTGATGGAAACAGGGAGAATGGGGCGGGGTGATGGAAAGCGGGAGAATGGGGCGGGGTGATGGAAAGCGGGAGAATGGGGCGGGGTGATGGAAATCGGGAAAATGGGGCGGGTGATGGAAAGCGGGAGAATGGGGCGGGGTGATGGAAAGAGGGAGAATGGGGCGGGGTGATGGAAAGAGGGATAATTGGGCGGGGTGATGGAAAGCGGGAGAATGGAGCTGGGTGATGAAAAGCGGGAGAATGAGGCGGAGTGATGGAAAGCGGGAGAGGGGCGGGGTGATGGAAATCGGGAGAATGGGGCGGGGTGGTGGAAAGCGGGAGAATGGGGCGGGATGATGGAAAGCGGGAGAATTGGGCGGGTATTGGGAAGAGGGAGAATGGGGCGGGGTGATGGAAAGCGGGAGAACGGGGCGGGGTGATGGAAAGCGGGAGAATGGGGCCGGGTGATAGAAAACGGGAGAATGGGGCGGGGTGATGGAAATCGAGAGAATTGGGCGAAGTGATGGAAAGCGGGAGAATGGGGAGAGGTGATGGAAAGCGCGAGAATGGGGCGGGGTGGTGGAAAGCGGGAGAATGGGGCAGGGTGGTGGAAAGCGGGAGAATGGGGCGGAGTGATGGAAAGCGGGAGAATGGGGCGGGGTGATGGAAAGAGGGAGAATGGGGCGGGGTGATGGAAAGCGGGAGAATGGGGCGGGGTGATGGAAAGAGGGAGAATGGGGCGGGGTGATGGAAAGCGGGTGAATGGCGCGGGGTGGTGGAAAGCGGGAGAATGGGGCGGGGTGATGGAAAGCGGGAGAATGGGGCGGGGTGATGGAAAGCTGGAGAATGGGACGGGGTGATGGAAAGCGGGAGAATTGGGCGGGGTGATGGATAGAGGGAGAATGGGGCGTAGTGATGGAAAGAGGGAGAATGGGGCGGGGTGATGGAAAGAGGGAGAATGGGCAGGGTGATGGAAAGCGGGAGAATGGGGCGGGGTGATGGAAAGTGGGAGAATGGGGTGGGGTGATGGACAGCGGGAGAATGGGGAGGGGTGATGGAAAGCAGGAGAATAAGGCGAGGTGATGGAAAGAGGGAGAATGGGGCGGGGTGATGGAAAGCGGGAGAATGGGGCGGGGTGATGGAAAGCGGGAGAATGGCGTGGGGTGATGGAAGGCGGGAGAATGGGGCGGGGTGATGGAAAGAGGGAGAATGGGGAGGGGTGATGGAAAGAGGGAGAATTTGGCGGGTTGATGGAAAGCGGGAGAATGGAGCGGGGTGATGGAAAGCGGGAGAATGGGGCGGGGTGATGGAAAGCGGGAGAATGGGGCGGGGTGATGGAAAGAGAGAAAATAGGGCGAGGTGATGGAAAGCGGGAGAATGGAGTGGTGTGATGGAAAGCGGGAGAATGGGGCGGGATGATGCAAATCGGGAGAATGGGGTGGGGTGATGGAAAGCGGGAGAATGGGGCGGGGTGATGGAAAGCGGGAGAATGGGGCGGGATGATGGAAGGCAGGAGAATGGGGCGGGGTGATGGAAAGCGGGAGAATGGGGCGGAGTGATGGAAAGCGGGAGAATGGGGCGGGGTGATGGAAAGAGGGAGAATGGGGCGGGGTGATGGAAAGCGGGAAAATGGGGCGGGTGATGGAAAGCGGGAGAATGGGGCGGGGTGATGGAATGAGGGAGAATGGGGCGGGGTGATGGAAAGCGTGAGAATGGGGCGGGTTGATGTTAAGAGGGAGAATGGGCCCGGGTGATGGAAAGCGGGAGAATGGGGTGGTTTGATAGAAAGAGGGAGAATGGGGAGGGGTGATGGAAAGAGGGAGAATTGGGCGGGGTGATGGAAATCGGGAGAATGGAGCGGGGTGATGGAAAGCGGGCGGGGTGATGGAAAGTGGG